TTGGGGGGGGGGTGGTTTGCTGACACATAATGCTCATATATCTCATACATCTTGGAAGGGGGGAGGGCACAGTTTGGCATGTTTGCTCTGGGCCCTAGATGACCTTGTCCCTGCACTGTATACACGTACCAAAAGGGTTCAGCAGGTACCCGCTGTCAGAATAGAATAGCACAGTGGGAAATAACAGAACATTTGTGTGTGGGCAGGGATCCCTGTGTGTATACCTGCTTTACTGCTTTTAATGACAGTACATTTTTAGACCATGGGATCTTCCTCTCTCTTTTCTTTTCCTGTTGATTTATGATTGCAGTTTGTGGTTTGATCCCTGTGGGGACTATCATTCATATAAGATAAGCACCTGTACCATTTGGATTTGATCCAATATCTGATCATGCCTGACCTTACTTTATAAGGGGTCATAGATATTTGGTGAGTTTAGCTGGCCATAGACAGATCAAAATTAGACCGGTTCAGCAGGGACTGGCCAAATTTCAATCCATGTATGGCTGGCCTTGTTCAAGAACACTCAATCTACTAATGGACTGCTCTCAAATGGGCTTGCTGGAAAACTTTAGGCTCCAATAGGCTCCAACGCTTTTCAGTTTATTCTGACAGTGGAAGAGTCCAACTGATGCTTTCGCTTTCAAAATACAGCAGTGGAGGATTCACAGAGGGGGAAGATTCACAGAGGGGAGAATTCCTGCATCCACCTCAAATGTGTGGATGGGCCCAGTGTCTGAACGAAAAAAATGTATGCCCTTGGGGGAGCCTCACAGGCAGGGTTGCTGTTAGAAACCATTAGGCCCCATACAGCCAATTTGACAGCCCCCCCCCCCCCCCCCCCCCCCCCCCCCCCCCCCCCCCCCCCCCGCCCCCCCCCCCCCCACCCCCCCCCCCACCCCTCCCCCCCCCCCCCAAAAAACAGATTTTACTATGCTTCAGTTATGAATGAACACAGTGAGTGATTGGTATTGATCACTCATTGTGTTCATTCAGGAAAGGGGCTTGTAAATGTGACATATTTACTGGATCCTTCCCCCAACTCTCGATCCTGAAGGTTCCTATTGTGTACTTTCAGCTGCCAATGGGAAGGAGAGGAGGGATGCCGGCAGCACTGCAGAGATGAAGGGCAGACAGGGCGGCCTGGGCAACAGGGGAAACATATGGTGCACAGGGAGGGTGATGGTTGTGATGGGGGTGGGGGGGCAATTACTGGAACCAATCCCCCCTCTTTGCAGTAGCTGAAACCAAAGGGAGGGATAGGAATAGAAGCCGGCTCTCTGCTGCTGCAGAGCCATACAGGGGATCGGTTCCAGTAGCTGCAACACCCCCTCCTCCATGCTGATCATCCTCCCTGCCCACATCTGTTCACCCCATCTGCCTGTGTGACTGGTGGTACCCCCTGATCACAGGCATGTATGGAGAAGCACTCTGACATTTTATAGAGTGGAATTTTTTTTCATCATTTGCAGAACATTTTAAAGATGAGTTTTTATATTAAAGCCCAGCTCTGCATCCTGCACTGCAAAGGTTAACGGCTCATTTAGTCTAGGGGGAGTGTTTGCACTCTAAGGCCCCGTTCGCATATCGCGGGAATGAGTGCTCCTGCTCATGATTTTTGTTGTGCAATTTTCACGTGATTCTGCATGTTGCTCATAGGGCCGCTCATTCACTTGAATGAACTGCACTGTGCCACTTAGTCACAGAAAAGAAGCTCATGCACAGTTTTGTGTGATGGGCTTTGCACAATTTGTAAATGACGTTTTGCCATGATTGTCATGCAACAGAATTGCACCATGTCTGGGGTGCCATTAAGAATAATGGCACCCAAACGCACGTCACACTTTGAATTGCAGACAGAATTGAAATGATGCTGCCTGTGATTCCAAATCTAATGCTAATGGGTCCTCATTGATCCTCTGCTCCCCAAGCAGATTTCACTCCCCCACACTCCAGCGATGGACTGCCTTTCGGTGTTACCACATCCAGAGAAAGCCTGTGACCGCTGCATTATTATAGATGACATCCCTTAAACTTAAACAAGCAATTAATCCATGCAGTGTGGGCACAGCCCAGAGTTTCCCAAAAGTTGGGCTTTATTTATCATATTATCTATGGAGTTTTATAATATTTACTGATTTGTGTCACTATTGTTGCATTTTGGTATTTCAAGAAAGATATTGCATTTTGGCTGATAGATGGTGCTTACAATTATAGAAAATATTAAAGTTAGACAAAATACAAATGTTTTTTAATCTTCTGACAGTCAATTTGCGTGTGGCCCTATCGATCTCAATGGGCGAGTTTGAGAGAAGTTACAACCTTTCAAACTTTGCAGCCTGAGTTAAAATTGCAATAGCAGCAAAGCATAAATTGTGGTTGTGTCATGTATACTGCCCTGTCAGGCTGTAATGTTAGAATTACAGTGTGTGGCAAAACCACGTCTCAGCATTATGTTTTTACCATCCCCTGGCCACCATTGTGAAACAGCCCTAACAGTGTTGAATCAATAAAGCTAGCAATACACTGAGCAAAATTCACTGAGTAGTTGGCCCTGTCACCTCCACCCACCCACCCAACATCACTTCATTCAAAAAATCTAAGGAGTTTGTGTGCAATTACATGAGTTTCTGGGTGTTGTGATGCAATATTAGGCAAACGTGTTGTATATTATCATACAGCTCTGGAATACAAAGAAATTCTGTGTTCTGGTGTGAACATGACAACTAGAAGACTATTGTTGTCATTGCAGTTAAGTGAGTTTTTCTATGAGAAAAATGGCAGTTACATGCACACAGTATGAACAGACCTTAAGTCTAGGTTCACATACAGTATCTCACGGAAGTGAGTACACCCCTCACAGTTTTTGTAAATATTTCATTATATCTTTTCATGTGACAACACAGAAGAAATCACACCTTGTTACAATGTAAAGTAGTCAGTGTACAGCTTGTATAACAGTGTAAATTTGCTGTCCTCTCAAAATAACTCAACACACAGCCATTAATGTCTAAACTGCTGGCAACAAAAGTGAGTACACCCCTAAGTGAAAATGTCCAAATTGGGCCCAATTAGCCATTTTCTCTCCTTGATGTCATGTGACTCCTTAGTGTTACAGGGTCTCATGTGTGAATGTGGAGCAGGTGTGTTAAATTTGGTGTTATCGCTCTCACACTGGTCACTGGAAGTTCAACATGGCACCTCATGGCAAAAAACTCTCTGAGGATCTGAAAAAAAAAGAATTGCTGCTCTACATAAAGATGGCCTAGGCCAGGGGTAGGCAACCTGTGGTTCTCTAGCTGTTGTGGAACTACATTTCCCATTAGGCATTGCAAAGATTACAAAACTGACAGTTACAGCTATGACTTGCAGAGGCATGATGGAACGTGTAGTCCTGCGGCTCTCAGGTTGCCTACCCCTGGCCTAGGCTATAAGGAGATGGCCAAGACCCTGAAACTGAGCTGCAGCACGGTGGCCAAGACCATACAGCAGTTTAACAGGCCAGGTTCCACTCAGAACAGGCCTTGCCATGGTCGACCAAAGAGGTTGAGTGCATGTGCTCACCGTCATATCCAGAGGTTGCCCATGTATTTCAATATGATCCTAGACTGTAAGCTCCAAGGAGCAAGACCCTCCTATCCCTCTTGTATTGAACTGTATTGTTGCTGTATTGTCTCCCTTTATATTGTAAAGCGCTGAGCAAACTATTGGCACTATATAAATCCTGAAGTAGAATAATAATAATGACCCCAAACACACCTCCAAGACAACCATTGCCTTGCTAAAGAAGCTGAGGGTAAAGGTGATGGACTGGCCAAGCATGTCTCCAGACCTAATCCCTATTGAGCATTTGTGGGGCATCCTCAAATGAAAGGTGGAGGAGCGCAACGTCTCTAACATCCACCAGCTCCGTGATGTCATCATGGAGGAGTGGAAGAGGACTCCAGTGGCAACCTGTGAAGCTCTGGTGAACTCCATGCCCAAGAGGGTTAAGGCAGTGCTGGAAAATAATGGTGGCCACACAAAAAATATTGACACTTTGGGCCCAATTTGGACATTTTCACTTAGGGATGTACTCACTTTTGTTGCCAACGGTTTAGACATTAATGGCTGTGTGTTGAGTTATTTTGAGGGGACAGCAAATTCACACTGTTATACAAGCTGTACACTCACTACTTTATATTGTAGCAAAGTGTCATTTTTGCAGCGTTGTCACATGAAAAGATATATTTAGTTCTGTGCAATACCATTGCATGGGGTAAGTAAGTATAATATCTTTTTTATTTAAATTTTTAAAAAAATTGACTTTCTAGTCGCTTTATTTCATTCATGGTGCAACCACCCATTGCCACCTGCGCACTCCATGTGTTTCTATGCAGCCAGGACTTCTTTCCCTGTGTTTCTCACAGGTACAGCAGCTCAGTCCAATGCATGCACATAGGCCTAGGTCTAGGTTCACACTTGTGCAGGTTGCGCATGCATGGGCACAGAAGCCTATTCATTTGAATGCGTTGCTGTACCTGTGAGAAATGTGGGTAAAAAGACCTCACCCCCCTTTTTTTTTTTTTAATGCCGCTGCATGGAGCCGCAGGGTGCTGCACTACCATGCGTATTCGTGCAAGTGCAAATATGCCGTGTTTTCCAATGAATTGGGTGTGATTAGGAAATTATAACACCCCCCCACGGGTCCACTAAACCGCAGCGCATTTCTTGTGGGTCAGGAGCGCACGCTTTTATAACGTGTTCTCAACACGCATGTGTGTGAACAGAGACTGAGCTCTGAGTGTACAGGACTAGGATCACTCATCATATACCCCATTAGAAGTGTCAGTGAGGGGCAGTCAGGACACTAGCAGGGAGTCCATACCAGGCAGCGGTGTGGTAGCCCAGAGTTCTCCGTACAGAGCTCCGCCACCTGTTCTGTGTACAGAGCTGCATACACCCCACATAGCCCCCCCATATACTAATACTGCACCCCCCCACACACACGCCCCATTTACCATACACCAGCTTCTTCATCTCATGGTACCGGCTCCACAGCTGCGCTCTGCTGTCGGCTTTCTCCGGCTTGCTGTTTTCTGCTGGGTGCCCTCTGGCCTCCGTGCCCGGCGGCTGGTGTTGAGGAGGGGTGCTGAGCCTGGCACACCGGACCCGGCTATAGCCGGTGAAGCCCGCCGCTCTCCCCCGGGTACACAGCGCAGACATACTGCTGCATAGACCGGTGCGGGAGGAGAGACAGGATTGCGCCCCGTGCGGGGAGTGGGGCAACTACAGCTGCCGGCACGTCATTGAGAGGAAATGTGTTTTAATCACAGTGTGCGCCATAATATGATCCTTATGTCCGAGGGGAACACAAAGTGTACCCCATAATATGCTTCCTATGTCCGAAAGGAAAACAAAGTGTACCCCATAATATGCTTCCTATTGTCCAAAGGGAAACACAAAGTGTACCCCTATAATATGCTCCTTATGTCCTAGGGGAAAACAAAGTGTACCTGTAATATGCTTCCTATGTCCGAGAGGAAAACAAAGTGTACCCCATAATATGCTTCCTATGTCCGAGAGGAAAACAAAGTGTACCCGTAATATGCTTCCTATGTCCGAGGGGAAAACAAAGTGTACCCCATAATATGCTTCCTATGTCCAAAGGGGAAACACAAAGTGTACCCCATAATATGCTCCTTATGTCCTAGGGGAAAATAAAGTGTACCCTATAATATGCTTCCTATGTCCGAGAGGAAAACAAAGTGTACCCTGTAACATGCTTCCTATGTCCTAGGGGAAAACAAAGTGTACCTGTAACATGCTTCCTATGTCCTAGGGGAAAACAAAGTGTACCCGTAATATGCTTCTTATGTCCGAGAGGAGAAACAAAGTGTACCCCATAATATGCTTCCTATGTCCGAGGGGAAACCACAAAGTGTACCCCATGATATGCTTCCTATGTCCGAGGGGAAAATACACAATGTACCCCGTAACGTGCTTCCTATATCCAAGAGAAAATCACAAAGTATACCCCGTAATATGCTCCCTATGTCCAAGAGGAAAACACACAGTGTACCCCGTCATATGCTCCCTATGTCCGAGTAGAAAACAGTGTACCCCGTAATATGCCCCCTATGTCCTAGGGGAAAACACAGTGTACCCACTAACATGCTCCCTATGTCCGAGAGGAAATCACAGAGCGTACCCCTTAATATGAGCTCTATATCCTGGACATACTGCTACATAGACCAGCGCATGAGGAGAGACGGGAGTGCATCCTGTGTGGGAACTACAGCTGCCAGCATGTCATTGGCTGAGAGGAAATGTGTTCTAATCACAGAGTGTACTCCATAATATGCTCCCTATGTCTGAGAGGAAAAACACAGTGTGTACCCCATAAAATGATCTCTATATCAGAGGAAAAACACAGTGTACCCAATAGTATGATCTCTATATCAGAAGAAAATACATGTGCCCAATAATATGTTCTCTATATCCTGGAGGAAACCACAAAGTGTACCCCATAAAATGATCTCTATATCCTAGAGGAAAACAGAGTGTACACCCTAATATGTTTTCTCTATCCGAGAGGAAACCACACAGTGTACTCCATAATATGATCTCTATGTCTAGGAGGAAAACACAGAGTGTACCCCATATTATGTTCTCTTAATACCTATTAAAAACCTGTGCCTAGTAACTGCAATTATTAACTAAATACCTAAAAAATGTTAGCTGCTAAATAGTAAATCTCCCTCCCTGTAACACAGGGAGAGAGATTTACTAAATTGGTGCATTTACAATCTGGTGCAGCTGTGCATGATAGCCAATCAGCTTCTAAATTCAGCTCATTCAATTAAGTTTTGACAATAAAACCTGGAAGCCGATTGGTTTCTATGCAGAGCTGCACCAGATTTTGCACACGCCAGTACACGATTAGTAAATAACCTCCCCAACCTGTGCTTACATAAAATGTTATCCTTAATCACAGTGCTTTAAAAAAACAAATTGTGCAAAATACTAAATTATTAAATATATAGTATCCCATGTAATGCAACTTTAAATAAAAGTGTCCATGAATAATAATTGCTGCTTGTAGCTATCCTTTATCCTGAGCAATACAGTTCAAAAAGTGCTCTGTGCAAACCAAATGCTGTTAATTATAAAAGTATAATACAAATGCTGTTTTTATAATTATAAATTTACTAAAGTTGGTTCACTCAGAATCTGGTGCCAATCAGCTTCTACAATTAAGCTTTAGCAATAAAACATGTAAGCTGATGGGTTGTGATGCGCCAGATGCTGAGTGAACCAGACTTTTTTATGTAGACAATTGACATATACAACTTAACCACTTGTCATCTGCCCTACAGCAGAAGTACTGCTACAGAGAAGCATAGCTGCGCAAAATCTCACACACACACACACACACACACACACACACACACACACACGATTTGCACTTCCGGGTAGGGGGTGTGCGCCGCTCTATCCATGTCATTATAGGCGGCTGGGGATGTAAATCACCAGGTTCCGGCCAACGATTCCCAGCCGGCACTCGGTGATCATCGACAAAGCTGACTGGGGAGAGACTTGTGTGTAAACAACACAGGGTCTTGCTCCTGTCAGAAGACATGCTGCTTTGTATCTCTGCTGTGCAGAGAGATACAAAGCAGCTTGTTCATGCTAAGTAAAACAGCACACAGTTAACCCTTTGGTCGCCCCAGTGTCCCTTGCTGCCCAGCGTCATTAGTACAGTGTCAGTGCTTTTTTATTAGCACTGATCACTGTATTAGTGTCACTGGGCATGTCAGTGGTAGATAGTTTCCACCCAGTATCAGAATGCCCGCCGCAGTACCGCTATAATTTGCTGATTGCGGTCATTACTAGTATAAGAAAAATAAAATTCCAGTATATATACACACTGCCATTTGTAGACGCTATAACGTTCATGTAAAGTAATTAATAAACAAATTATTGGAATTTGTTTTTTTTTTTTTTGTTTTTGTTTTTTTAGCAAAGAGATGTAGCAGAATACATTTTGGTATAAATTTATGAAGAAATTCGATTTAAATTTTTTTTTTATTGGATAGGTTTTATGGCTGAAAGTCAAAAATATATTTTTTTTATAAAAATGGTCAGTCTTTTTTGTTTATAGTGCAAAAAATAAAAATATGCAGTGGTGATCAAATACCCCCAAAAGAATGTTCTATTTGTGGGAAAAAAAATTACATAAATTTTATTTATGTACAGCGTTGCATAAAAGTGCAATTGTCAGTTAAAATTACACAGCACTGTATCACAAAAAAATGGCCTGTCAGGGAGGGGGGGAATCCTACTCTGGAGGGCAAGTGATGAAAATCTATAAGCTATTATGCTCACATTTGACTGCATTCTGCCCCACACTCGGGTTATGCAGCATTTTTATCATACAGCACTAGCTTCACTGTCAGGCTAGGTTCACATATGTGTGGGTGGTGCGGCTGCACCACCCGCACAGAACAATGCGGGACCTACGGGCAGGTGCCATTAATTCTAATAGCAGGCTGCCTGCACTGGACTGGGATCCTTGGTTTCCGTGCAGACTGCGGTTTCCAAAGAAGTGCAGGGACTTCAAATGAATGGGCTCTTGTGCCCGCGGCCCGCAGATGGCAACAAGTAGCTTACCCCCCCCCAAAAAAAAAAAAAAAAAAAAAAAAAAAACAACAACACACACACACACGTGTCACTGCTATTTTTGTTACTGCTGTACCAGCAATTCCGTATGGCTGACCTCTGCGTGTTCTGGGCTGCAAGGGCTCTGCTTTTGGGCTGCAAGGCTCTGTTATGGAGTTGCATTTGCCAAAATAAAGCTGTCACAGCAGCTCCTTCATGCAGACCTTAACTAAACCGGTTTACACAGATGTGCGGTGCCTCCAACAGATTTTGCATACTCTGCAAACAGTGTGCATATGTGGACACGTACCCATATAGATGTCAAATCTGGAGCAGCAGCAGTGTCTATGCAGCCACTGCATCCCATTTGACATGAATGGGACTGTCTACACGCACATGCACAGGACACCTGTGCATCCCTGTGAATTCAAACACAGCCCTCGCCGATATTGGTTTGATCGGCTGCTTTGGAGGGCAGAGGAGAGATCTGGGATCTAAGGCTGGCCATACAATATACAATTTTCTGTTCAATTTCTGCCCAATTTCCTTTAGATTTACCTTCAACAATGTAGTGCAAGGGCCCGCCCTAACTGGATACAATTGAAAGTGTTGTTTAGGGTTGACCTCATTTTTTTTGTAAATCTAAAGCAAAATTGTCAAGACAATTGTATAATGTATGGCCAGCCTTATAGATCCTATCATTCTGTTCAGCTTCACAATTCGTAGAATCTGTATTACAGCTTCCATGAAACAGTGGACACAGTCAGTCTCTTGATGAGAGCCTGTGACAGCTCCTTAGTTGTATTAACCCAGGCTGCATCTGGAGATTACAGCAACAAGGGTGGGGGGTAGGATGAATGGACAGAGGAAGATTTCTACTAATAGAAGAGGAACCAGCACAAGGGACACATCCTAGTGACTGTAAGTTATGCCCCTTGCGCTGATTTCTCTGTTTTAAAATTTAGGCAACACTTGGGATTTACACAAAAATACATACCCTGACTACTTTTAGATATGATTGCTGATATATTGAAAAAAACATGGAAGTGAGAAAGTATTAACATCATCAAGGTTTGGGCTCTGTACAAAAAAAATTAAGATTGGAAATTTATTTGAAAGCTTACATACTCATTTTTTTTTTTTTAAACAGAGAGCAATGCCCTACCCTTAGTCTAGGTTCAAAACCTATGCAGGTTGCGTTTGGGCCATTCCTGCATTACGTTTTTTGCCGCATTTTTTTTTCTTGTTGCTAGGCAGATTTTAACCGCAAAATGAATCAAAAACGTATAAAAAAAAAAAATGCAGCAAAAATGCAATACATGCTTTTCTGCAGCATTTCCATTGAAGTCTTTTGAAAGCAAAAATTAGCATTTTTGTCTCTATAAAGTCCCTGACCCTTTCCAAAAAACGCACAGGATTGAACATGTCCCATAGGTAATCATGTTAAATGGACTGTACTGCGTTTCTGCAAAATGCTGCAGAAAACGCTTAGGTGTGAACCTAAGGTAAAAGCGAACCTTCACTTGCCTCTTTATTCTAAGAATAGTTCTCAGAGAATCATATGCCTTGTATTAAAACGTTATTTGTGAAGCAAACCTTATGTTCATAGACAAATAACGAAAAAAAAAAAAAAAAAAGAAAAATAAAAACTTAAATAAAATGATCCTCTATATCAGGGATCTCCAAACTTTCGCATGAAAGGCCAGTTTTTTTTTTTTTTTCCCCCAGATTTTAGGGGAGGGTTTGACCATGACCTGTGTGAGTAGGAAATGTCCTGGCATCAGTGGGTATATACAATGTCCCATCTTTGGTATTAAGGGAATATTTAGTGCCCCATTGTTGGTGTCAGTGGAAGGAATAGTTCCCCAACCATTGGGGTCAGTGGGAGGAATAGGGCCCCCATCATTGATGTCAGTTGGAAGAATAGTGTAACATCATTGGAATCAGTGGGAGGAATAGTGTCCCATCATTGAAGTCGGTGGGAGGAATAGTGCCCTATCAGTGTCAGTGGGAGGAATAGTGTCCCATTGTTGGTGTCAATGTAGGCATTATTGCCCCATTGTTGGTGTCAGTGAGAGGTATAGTGTCTCATATCAATGAGAGCAAAAGTGTCCCAAGGGCTGGATAAAAGGCACACAAAGTGCCGCATTTGGCCCCCGGTCTGGATTCCACTGCTCTAAATCTATAGAACTCTCCAGCTGACATTGTTGTTTTAAAGGTTATATATAGCAAAAATCTCTGCCCCCTACACTGTGAGATTCTGATCCGCTTATATATGTATAGTAAATAACATGTAAGAAGTCTTCTGTTTCTAGAGTTATTTAAAGCAAAACATTACAAAAAACGCACTAGTTTAGTGAAAATACATATTTAATTAAAAACAGACACCAATCAAAGTAATCAAAAGATATCAAGAATTTCCTGATGCCTGCTGAGCTCTTTTTTCATATTGTCTCTCCGATTCACGTCTTCTATATACATCATCTGAAATAAGAATATATAATATTTATTATGAATGTGTAGAAACTTTACAAGACCAGAAATCATTTAACAGTAGCAGGAAATAAAGAAAACCCCCATCTGCTTAGCGACCCCTTTAATCTTTCAGAAGTCCCTTGGTAAAGAGTAGGATCTCATAAATCTTATACCCTGTAGGTCAAGGATGAATGAACAAGCTGCAGAAGTATAATTATTAAATACAAATAATTCCCACGGATTACCTTCATCAAAAAAAAGGCACAAATGCACCATTTATATTGTAGTGCTCTTTACAACCGGTTGATAAAACATTTGAAATGCAGTACTCCCTGCAAGGAAGACCTTTCCTGCACCACTGATTTCCAAAAGACACTGCAGAATCAGACACAACCCAATATGTGAGATTCTTGGTCCCCTGCTGCACTCAGTGGTTCAATTCACCAGCCCCTACATTACCACTGTGTCCTGTAGTGACATAGGGATGAGCAGGAAACCAAAGCATGCAGAAGAGCACCAGAAAATTTACATCAGAAATGTTGGATTCTGCAGGATCTTTAGCAGGCAATTTCCCCTCACCAATGCAGAGACTGGTTGCACAGGCAGCAGGAATGAGGATTCAATGTCTCCTGAGCAGGGAGCACTGACTAGAGTCTGCATTACTTGCCTATCCTTCAACAGTCCAAGGTACACTATATTACCAAATGCATTGGGACACCCCTCCAAATCATTGGATTCACGTATACCAATCACCTCCATGGCTACAGGTATATAATATCATACACACAGGCATGCAGACTTCTACAAATATTTGTGAAAGAATGAATCGCTCTCAGGAGCTCAGTGAATTCAAGCGTGGTACAGTGATAGGTTGCCACCTGTGCAATAAGTCCATAAGTGAAATTTCCTTGCTACTAAATATTCCACGGTCAACTGTTGGTGGTATTATAACAAAGTGGAAGCAACTGGGAACAACAGCAACTCAGCCACAAAGTGGTAGGCCACACGTAAAAAATGACAGATCGGGGTCAGTGCATGCTGAAGCACACAGTGTGCAGAAGTCGCCATCTTTCTGCAGAGTCAATAGCTAAAGACCTCCAAACTTCACGTGGCCTTCAGATTAGCACAACAGTGTTTGGAGAGCTTCATGGAATGGGTTTCCACGACCGAGCAGCTGCATCCAAGCCTTACATCACCAAGTGCAATGCAAAGCGTTGGATGCAGTGGTGTAAAGCACACCGCCACTGGACTCTAGAGCAGTGGAGATGTGTTCTCTGGAGTGATGGATCACTCTTCTCTGTCTGGCAATCTGATGGACGTGTCTGGGTTTGGCGATTGCCAGGAGAACAGTACTTGCCTGACTGCATTGTGGAAAGTGTAAAATTTGGTGGAGGGGGGATTATGGTGTGGGGTTGTTTTTCATGGGTTGGGCTTGGCCCCTTAGTTCCAGTGAATGGAACTCTTAAGGCATCAGCATACCAAGATATTTTGGCCAATTTCATGCTCCCAACTTTGTGGGAACAGTTTGTGGATGGCCCCTTCCTGTTCCAACAGGACTGCACACCAGTGCACAAAGCAAGGTCCATAAAGACATGGATGAGAGAGTTTGGGGTGGAGGAACTTGACTGGCCTGCACAGAGTCCTGACCTCAACCTGACAGAACATCTTCGGGATGAATTAGAGCGGAGATTGAGAGCCAGGCCTTCTCATCAGATTATTATTGCCTGATCTCACAAATGCACTTCTGGAAGAATGGTCAAACATTCCCATAGACACACTCCTAAACATTGTGGACAGCCTTTCCAGAAGACTTAAAGCTGTTATAGCTGCAAAGGGCGGGCCAACTCAATATTGAACCCTATGGACTAAGACTGGGATGCCAATAAATTTCACGTGCGTGTAAATGCAGACGTCCCAAGACTGTTGGCAATATAAATGTACCTCGCTGGCATCTTCTACCCAGCTTCTTCTGGGTGGCAGGATGAAGTTGTCCTAGCACACAGGATCTGTGCTGGAATGTAAAATGAGCTGCGCATGCACAGCTCAGAGTACATTGTAAAGAAGACTGAAAGCAGGCAGGTAGGTTTATTTTATTGCAGAAGAGCAATTGCTTATCTTTTCTGCAATAAGGAGTATGCCTGCTCAAGCTTTTTATTTTTATTTATTTTTTTTTTTTTTTATATTTAGTTTCACCTTAAGAATTCACATTGTGTATATGATAAAAAATTGAAAATTAATAAAATGTCAGCATGCTCAGGAGATCCAGATACAAGCACATGCAAATGCAAATCCCAACTTGTTCAGTAAAAGTTCTACGTACTGAGAGAACAGTAAAAGTTCTACGTACTGAGAGAACATGTATCCATGTTAGAGCTTGTAGCTCTGTGCATTCCTAACTGTGAGCTCACCTGGTCACGGAAAAATCCTTCTCTTTACCATTGATCATAAGCCAATTACATGAGGGTTGTCAATAAATAAACTGACAGTATGTTGTTTGTGTACAGAGAAAGAAACCGCAGTATATTTTCAGTACATGGTTAATCAGGCTTTAAAACATATTTGTCCATTATTCAGCCTATAATACATATCTGAGCCGAGTATTTAGTAAAGATTGCATCAAATGAAAGCTTTAAAATGTTCAATCAAAAATGAAAAAAAAAAAAATGAAGACAGGCAATTACTTATAGAGAGTTTAATGCATCCTGACACCACTAAATATGGCCTTTTCATCTACACTTCAATGACGCCTGGTAATGAAATGATAAAACAACATAACCCCTTTTTTATTTGTGGGTTTATAACATAATTTCCTATTGACCGCACATACTAGTGCTTTTCTTAACATTTTAGTGGTATTAAACCCATAAACAAAAATGTAATATATAAAATATTGCGGTTTACCAATCCTTAGATCTGCATTAGTTTATTTATTTTTTTTTTTTCCTTTCTTTATTTTCACCTGGTGATCCAGCCAGTAAGTCTGTTATTTTTAAACTCACTTTAACAAACTAAGCCGTCCAACAAAAATGACAGTTACAGGGTTGAGAAAAACCATTTAACACAGGGGTGCTTACAATAGTCAGCTTTTATTAATTTATTTAAAATCTTTATCCCAAAAGAGAAAATAAAACTGCTTGAGTAACTGCTTATATAGTCTTAGCTGAAGTTTAGATTTAGAGTAAAGGCTCAAGGTTTTTTACCTTTATGTATTCTATGCATGAACATAAAAAGCTTTCTGTATGCAAGAGCCACCCCCCACCTCCCCCCAATACTTACCTGGGCCCCATCTCAATCCAGCGATCTGCAAAAGAGCAGTGGCTCACTGACAACTCTTCCTCCTCCTCATTGGCAGAGACAGCAGGAGGAGCCATTGACTCCCGCTACTGACGATCACAGCCATTGAGCCAATGAGGAGAGAGCAGGGGCAGGGCCAAGCCACACTCTGTTTGCGAATGGACACACGGAGCATAGGCTCAGGAGCAAGCCTGCTCGGGTGCCCCCATAACAAGCTGCACTCAACAGGAGGGAGGGGCTAGGAGCTCTGGCAGGGAACCCGAGAAGAGTAGGATCAGGGCTATTCTCTGCAAAACCACTGCACAGAGCAGTCTATATGATATGTTTGTTACTTTTTTTTTTTTTCTTAAGATCTGCCTTTAATATCACTATTTTTTTTAGGCAAGTCTAACTAAATCTGCTAGACTAACACTACCCTCTTCTCACACTGACACTGCTGCTGTCTAAAAGGTGGCTCTGCTGTTCCTCCAGTGGAATGGAGACAACCTAAGAAAGGAAGTGTGTTACTGGTGGAATCACCAGGTGAAAATAAAAGAAAGTGTTTGCTGACATAAATACAATTAGTAGACTTACAACTGTGGTGGATCCATCATTCTTACTACTTGTCATTACTGGTAATATTGCTACAACCCCTCACAAGAGGATGCTCTTATTTTATGCCATGTAATATGGTAGAAGAATGATTTTGTCTAACTGGAAGTTACCGGAACCTCCACCTATCGCTGCTTGGAGATTCATGGTCAATGTTATAAAGTTAGTCTGATTGAAGAAAGACACACATCTATCCAGTTAAACCAAAAGAACGGAAAAAAAATAATACACGATCCTATTACGCACAGTCTATCTAGAGCAGCGGTTCTCAATCTGTGGGTCGCAACCCCTTTAGGGGGTCGAACCCCCCTTTCACAGGGGTCGCCCAAGACCATCGGAAAACACATATTTCCGATGGTCTTAGGAACTGAGACACCGCTCCTCTATCCCATCCAGGCGGGTCCGCCCACATGCAGATACGCCCACATTTCTGCGGACCGCGATGTGTGGGCAGGATGACATGCTACCCCTGTCATCTGGCCACACCCCCAGGATCACTCAACAGCTCCGCCTCCTCCCAGGCGATTGGCCGCCGGAACTGTAGCTCAGGAGAGGCACACAGGCGGCCAATCACCGGCGAGGAAGTGGAGCTTGGAGAGGAGGAGCCAAGCGGCAGCGCGAAGATCAAAGAAGATAGAGTGAGGGAGCGGCCGGAGAAGGAAGACAGCTGACCGGTAAGTGTCTGTACCATGCAGATGGTGCTCCTGCAGCCAGGTATGCCGGCTGTAGATGGAAGAGGGAAGGAGTGAGCCCAAGCTGGAGCAGGGGTCAGCAAGGCAAGTATCATTGGTGTCAGTGGGAGGAATAGTGCCCCAACATTAATGTCACTAATACCAACGATGGGTCACTATCCCCCCCCCCCCCCCCACCGACACCAACGATGGGTCACTATTCCCCCCCCCTCCCACCGACACCAACGATGGGTCACTATTCCCCCCCCCCCCCTCCCACCGACACAAACGATGGGTCACTATTCCTCCCCCCCCCCCCCCGACACCAACGATGGGGCACACTATTCCTCCCCCCCCCCCCCCCCCCCCCCCCCCCGACACCAACGATGGGGCACTATTCCTCCCCCCGACACCAACGATGGGGCACTATTCCTCCCCCCCCCCGACACCAACGATGGGGCACTATTCCTCCCCCCCGACACCAACGATGGGGCACTATTCCTCCCCCTCGACACCAACGATGGGGCACTATTCCTCCCACGCCGACACCAACGATGGGGCACTATTCCTCCCACGCCGACACCAAAGATGGGGCACTATTCCTCCCACGCCGACACCAAAGATGGGGCACAATTCCTCCCACGCCGACACCAAAGATGGGGCACAATTCCTCCCACGCTGACACCAAAGATGGGGCACAATTCCTCCCACGCTGACACCAAAGATGGGGCACAATTCCTCCCACGCTGACACCAAAGATGGGGCACAATTCCTCCCACGCTGACACCAAAGATAGGCACAATTCCTCCCACTGACACCAACGATGTGGAACTATTCCTCCCACTGACATCAGTGATGGGGCACTACTCCTCCCACTTGAAAATTAGTTATGAAGTAGCGACAAAAATAATTTTATGGTTGGGGGTCACTGTATTAAAGGGTCACGGCATTAGGAAGGTTGAGAACCACTGATCTAGAGGAAGGCAAAAACCCCATTAAAGCCTGATCCAATTTGCTCCAGCAGGGGAAAAAAAAAAAAAAAATCCTTCCTGATCCCTCAAGAGGCAATGGGATATTTCCTGTGCATTTAGTAAAGAATCCAGGCCTTTTTTTTTTTTTTTTTTTTAAACAAACAATCTATTGAGTTGGCCAGAACCAGCTGTTGAAGGAGTCTATTCCACACTTCACAGCTTTTACTGTGAAGAAGCATTTCCATATTTGGAGAATAAACCTCTTTTCCTCCAGATGTAAAGTGTGCCCCCTTGTCCTCTGTGATGGCCTTAAAGTGAATTATTCTACACCAAGTTCAATATATAGACCACTTACGTATTTATACATGTAGATTATATAACCCCCCCCCCCCCCCAATCTCTTCTTCTCAAGAAAGAATAAATTCAGTTCCTATAATCGTTCCTCATAGCAGAGCTCCTCCATGCCTCTTACCAGTTTGGTTGCCCTTTTCTGTACTTTCTCCAGTTCCCCAAATTCCTTTTTGTGAACAGTAGCCAAAACTGAACTGCATATTCCAGATGAGGTCTTACTATTTGTACAGGGGTAATATGATATCTCTCTCTGGAGTCTATACCTCTTTTAATAGAAGAGAGGATTTTGCTCGCTTTGGAAACTGCAGCTTGGCATTGCATGCCATTATTAAGCTTGTGATCTACCAGAACCCACAGTTGTTCACCTAGTATGTACAGTATGGTTCATGCGGCTTTTTAGCCCACAAATGCATAACTTTACATTTATCAACATTAAACCTCATTTGCCACATACAGTTGTGGCCAAAATTATTCAACCCCCACTGAAATTGAGTGTTTTGGCCAGTTTGACATTGCTTTTGATCATTCAGTCATCTTGCTTACATTTACATTAAAGAGGCACTTGTAGGTCAGACAAATATAACATAACAGTTATAATGAAATAACCACAAATGTCTTTTCTGTGCTCACAGCATTATCAGTTTTATTCAACCCCCAAGTGACATTCAATCTTAGTACTTAGTACAGCATCCTTTTACAGTTATAACAGCTTTTAAACGTGAAGCATAGCTTGACACAAGTGTCTTGCAGCGATCTACGGGTATCTTCGCCCATTCTTCATGGGCAAAGGCCTCCAGTTCAGTCACATTCTTAGGCTTGCGCACTGCAACTGCTTTCTTTAAGTCCCACCAGAGGTTCTCAATCGGATTTAAGTCTGGTGACTGCGATGGCCACTCCAAAATGTTCCAGCCTTTCCTCTGCAACCATGCTCTAGTGGACTTGGAGGTATGCTTGGGATCATTGTCCTGTTGAAAGGTCCAACGTCTCCCAAGCCTCAGGTGTGTGACGGACTGCATCACGTTTCCATCCAATATCTCCTGGTACTGAAGAGAATTCATGGTACCTTGCACACGCTGAAGCTTCCCTGTACCTGCAGAAGCAAAACAGCCCCAAAGCATGATTGACCCTCCACCATGCTTCACAGTAGGCAAGGTGTTCTTTTCATCATAGGCCTTGTTCTTCCTCCTCCAAACATAGCGTTGATCCATGGGCCCAAACAGTTCTAATTTTGTTTCATCAGTCCACAGAACACTATCCCACAACTTTTGTGGTTTGTCCACATGGCTTTTGGCATACTGCAGTCGACTCTTCTTATTCTTTGGAGACAGCAAGGGGGTACGCCTGGGAGTTCTGGCACGGAGGCCTTCATTACGCAGTGTGCGTCTTATTGTCTGGGCTGAAACTTCTGTACCCCACATCTGACAAATCTTTTCTCAGTTCCTCAGCAGTCACACGGGGACTTCTCTCCACTCTACGCTTCAGGTAGCGCACAGCAGTCGAAGTCAGCATCTTCTTTCTGCCACGACCAGGTAGCGTTTCAACAGTGCCCTTTGCCTTGAATTTGCGAATGATGCTTCCTAAGGTGTCTCTTGGTATGTTTAACATCTTTGCAATCTTCTTATAGCCATTGCCCTTCCTGTGAAGAGAAATCACCTCTTCTCTTGTCTTCCTGGACCATTCTCTTGCCTTCACCATGTTTGTAACCCACACAGTAAATGTCTAGAAGGAGCTGAGTATCACAGTCATTTTAAAGCTGCCTAATTGGTGCTTATTATGCTTGATTGCTGCTCGGTGACATCCACAGGTGTTTTCAATACCTGATGGAAAGCACCTGTATGAACCTCTGTTCTTCAGAGTGGTAGTCTTTTTAAGGGGTTGAATAATTGTGGCAATGAAGAAACCACATAAGAACCATTTACTACTGTATTACATAAACAATTGATGTCATTTTAGTTGCATTTGGGTAGTTACACAACGTCCTTGTAGGATTTGATTCTGAATACAATTCCAAATGTACACTATAGTCCCTAAACCCCTTTACAGCATTGGGGGTTGAATAATTTTGGCCACAACTGTAGTTGGCCAATTAAACAGAGCATTGAGGTCAGATACATCCTGTAAGGACGCTATTCCACTGCATAACTTGGTGTCATCTTCAAAAACTGACAAAAAAAAAAAAAACAAACCAATACAAACCAATGCAGTTTTATTTCTGCCCCAAGAAGTTTGGATTGAGTGGTTGCTAGAGATACTACCATTTAACGTGGAATCTAAAGCCAATAACCACACACACTTTTTAATTATCACCCCTGATCCCCTGGCCCCCTTTATTTTCTCCTATCATTTGAATCCCCTCTCCTCCACATGGTTGCTGTGTGTCCTCACTATAAATCTATTTAGCGTTTTCTCAACCTATAATGTTTGCTGCTTCCTATATAAATAAATACATAAATGGAGTGCTATGTCTAATTACAGAAAAATAAAAAATTAATGTAAAAAAAAAAAAAAAAAAAAAAAAACCTTCACCAAAAATAAGACTATATAAAACAATAAATGGTGACAAACGTTTTGGTGACAAAAATAACTGTAAAAAATTAATACAAGTCCACTCTGTGTCCAAATTAGGGCCCCAAAAGGCCAATAAAATATCTGTATATACACCGCTCAGAAAAATGAAAGGCACATTTTTTAATCAGAGTATAGCATCAAGTCAATTAAACTCCTGAGATATTGATTTGGGCAGTTAGGGCTCGTTCACACTTGACTTTTTCCAACTCTTGCCAAAGGCCCCTATAGTGTTTGCGGAGCGTTTTTAAAGCTCCAAAAACGCCGTATGCACGGTTTATCGGCAGTTGATAGGCGTTTGGTAAGCATTAAAAAACGCCCCACAAACGCCTATAGTGAAGTTTGAATGGTGCTAACGCTCCGCAAACACCTCGCAACCGCCTACGCTGGCCGGGCGTTTGCGGAGCGGCACCATAGACTTGAATAGGAGGCTTCAACTCCTTACTCGACCAGAGGTGTCCGTTTTGCCGCGACGCTAACACTCCCGTTTGAACACCACTATGTGCTGCAATGTGCAGAATTTTACGAGGCGTTTGGAAAACGGTAAAAATGCTCCCAAACGCCTGTCTGCCGCTTGCTAACAAGGCTAGTGTGAACGTAGCCTTAAGTAGCAGAGGGGGTTGGTAGTCAGTTTCAGCTGCTTTGGTGTTAATGAAATTAACAGGTGCACTAGATGGGCAACAATGAGACGACCCCCAAAACAGGAATGGTTTTACAGGTGGGGGCCATTGATGTTTTTTTCCCCTACTCATCTTTTTTATGGATTTTCGCTAGTTTTGAATTTGGCTAGGGATAGGGTTACTACTGGTAGCAGGAGGAGATGATACCTGGACCCTACAGAGATTGCATAGGCAGTCCAACTCCTCCAGGATGGCAAATCAATATGTGCCATTGCCAGAAGGTTTGCTGTGTCTCCCAGCAGTCTCAAGAGCATGGAGGAGATTCCAGGAAACAGGCAGTTACTCTAGGAGAGCTGAACAGGGCTATAGGTCTTCAACCGATCAGCAAGACTGGCATCTGCTTCTCTGTGCAAGGAAGAACAGGATGAGCACTGCCTCCAGCAGGCCACTGGTGTGAATGTCTTTGACCAAATAATTATTATTATTATTACTACGAGTTTATATAGCGCCAAAGGGTTTGCTCAGCGCTGTACAATAGGGGGGACAATACATGGCACAGTACAACAACAACAAACAACGTACGAGGGGTAAGAGGGCCCTACTCTTACGAGCTTACAATCTAGGAGGCTCTAGAAACAGACTTCATGAGGGTGGCCTGAGGGCCCAACGTCCTCTAGTGGGCCCTGTGCTCACTGCCTGGCACCACAGAGCTTGACTGGAATTTGCCATTGAACACCAGAATTGGCAGGTTCTCCACTGGCTCCCTGTGCTTTTCGCAGATGAGAGCAGGTTCACCCTGAGCACATGTGACAGACGTGAAATGGTCTGGAGAAGCCATGGAGAATGTTATGCTGCCTATAACATCATTCAGCATGACTGTTTTGGTGGTGGGTCAGTGATGGTCTGGGGAGGCATATCCATGGAGGGACGCACAGACCTCTACAGGCTAGACAATGGCACCCTGACTGCCATTAGGTATTGAGATGAATTCCATGGACTCATTTGTCAGACCCTACGTGGTGGGTCCTGGGTTCCTCCTGGTGCACAGCAAAGCCCGGCCTCATGTGGGGAGAGTATGCAGGCAGTTCCTGGAGGGTGAAGGAATTTATACCACTGAATGGTCCCCACACTCACCTGACCTAAATCCAACAGAACACTTCTGGGATTTCATGTTTTGGTCCATCCGGCACTGCCAGGTTGCACCTCAGACTATCCAGGAGCTCATTGATGCCCTGGTCCAGATTATAGAGGAAATACCCCAGGACACCATCCATCGTCTCATTAGGAGCATGCCCCAACATCGTTAAGCATGCATACAAGCACGTGGGGGTCATACAAACTACTGAGTACCATTTTGAGTTGCTGCAATGAAATTTCAGCAAAATGGACTAGCCTGCTGCATAATTTTTTTTTCTTTTGGGATGTCTTTGAATGCAGTCCTTCATAGGCTGATAATTTTCATTTACATCAACTGATGGGGCATCCTTACATTCCTAAAACATTACCCAGGCCATATAATTTTTTTCCATTGAGATCTGATGTGTTTTCAAAGTGTTCCTTTATTCTTTTTGAGAAGTGTATCTTCAATACATAAATCCAACATGCAGTGTTTCCGGGCCACCTCACAACCAAAATTTGTACAAAAATCTATACCACAACAGAATGAAAACTTACAAAATGTTTCCTTGCCAATCCGAGCATTGATCATAAACCATTCCATGGCACCTCCCAGGATGAAAAAGAAGGGAAGGAATCGATAGAGACCAAATCGCCTCTTCCCTGGGATCAAATCCAGGAGAGTTCCTATTTTACTTCTACTGGCCATATCTGGATGCCTGCAAAAAGAATAGCATTCAGGTTTACACTACTAGAATAAACAACAATGCAAGCCAGCCCAAGAACATTGCATGATAGCATTCATACAAATGGATGAGTGGTAGATTTTCTGTACCCACCTAAAAGCAGTAGTGAAATAAAAAAGAAAAAAAAAAAAAAAAAAAAAAAAAAAAGTAGCTCAAACAGCAATAATCAAGAGGCAGTAAGCATTTAAATGAAACATATGTTTCTGTGGGAACCTCAACTCCCCAGACATAAAAAAAAACCCAATAAATTAAAGCCTAAATGCAGCCAAAAGCAACATTAGAAAAATCAGCACAAGGGACATAACAGTCAGTAGGATCTGTCCCTTGTGCAGATTGCTCTTCTTCTAGCAATATTTCTGCTCTGTCCTGACACCCCCCATCCTGTCATGATCTTGTGGTGCGGCAGGGGTTAATAACTAAGAGACTCTCAGTGTTTCTCAGAGAGCCCAACTATGCCCACCCTTTCCGCTCAGCTGCTCCACTCAAAGAAGTCATACTACAAATTCTATGAATGAAACAGGATCTCTGAATGGAGGGGGCAAAGTTATCGATCACCTGCCTGTCTCCCTTTCTTTGATCATTAACATTCAGAGTGGATCACATTCCCTCTAGCTGTACTAAATAAAAATAATATATATAACAAGCAAAGCAGGGCTCACTGTGTCTCACCATTAGTGATCAGCTCTGGTGTGTTTGGATCCTAGTGTACAGCCCCCTGAGCGATCCCATCCTTGTTTCCTGAAGCTGCAAGTGTACTGGGCCAACCATCAGCGGCTGAGGCATTCCCCCACCCCTGCAGCCACAGGTATACACACCACACCCCTTGTGCACGTGCAGCTGGAGTGGAGGGGCTGGGAATGCCCCAGTTGCAGATGGTTGGCCCAGTAAAAATGACCCCTTCCTGGCGGGCTCGTTCAGGTGGGTTCACACTAGGATCTGAACAGCATGAGTTCACCACCACTACTCACCAATTGTTAAAGGATAAGTTCACTTTTGGAACATATTTACATTATCCACCTATTTTTAGGGTGGAACATGTAACATGTTCCAGCATCTGCAGCTCTACAACCCCCCCGCTGCCCCCCTCCCCATGACAGAGCACTGGGGATCTTCTCCCTGCACCTGCTGTCACTTTTTGAAAAACAGCGGTCCACCCACACAGCCGCAACATTGATTCACAGCTTCCTGTGAGGGAATGCCTACAAATACCATCAGCCATTGCGGCTTAAGGCTTGCATTTTCAATGAGCAGTGAGGGCAGTGGTGAGTGTTCTCATAGCCCATTGATCTTCCTGCTCTCAGGTAACTGTCTGCCCGTGTGAGGTATGAGCAGACAGTCATGCGGAGATTTGCAATAACTGGACATTGCACCTGCGATCTGATCACGGGTGCAATGCTCTGCAGGCTCCTTAGAAGAAAATAAATGCACATTTTTTTACCTGCAGAACTGTGCACTTATGTGTTTTTGTTTTAACCACTTTAGCACCTGAGGATTTACCCCCCTTAATGACCAGGCCTCTTTTTGCTACTCGGCGCTGCACTAATTCAACTGATAATTGCGCGGTCATGCAATGCTGCACCCAAACGAAATTTACGTCCTTTTTTTTTCACACAAATAGAGCTTTCTTTCGGTGTAATTTGATCACCTGTGCGCTTTTTATTTTTCACACTATAAAAAAAAAAAAAAGGCCAAAAATTTTGAAGAAAAATATTTTTTACTTTCAGCTATAAAAAATATATAGTAAACTCAAAGTTGGTTATAAATTTAGGCCAAAATGTATTCTGCTCCATGTTTTTGGTAAAAAAAATCCCAATAAGTGTATATCGATTGCTTTGTGTGGAAGTTATAGCGTCTACAAACTATGGTATAAATACTGCAATTTACACCATTTTTCTGCTATACAGCGCTGCGCTAGTTTAACAGACAATTGCGCGGTCATGCAATACGGTACATAAATGAAATTTACATCCTTTTTTCCCCCACAAATTGAGCTTTCTTTCGGTGGTATTTGATCACCTGTGCGGTTTTTATTTTTTGCGCTATAAAAAAAAAAAAAAAAAAAAAGGCTGACAATTGAGGAAAAAAAAAAAAACAATATTTTGGACTTTTTGCTATAAAACATGTCCAGTAAAAAAAAAAAAAAAAAAAAAAAAAATCAAAAATTTAGTCATAAATTTCTGCCAAAATGCATTCTGCGACACGTCTTTGCTAAAAAAAAAATCTCAATACGTGTAAATTAATTGGTTTACGTGAAAGTTACAGCGTTTACAAATGGCGGGAAAGATACTGGAATTTTTATTTATACTAATAATGGCGCCAATCAGCGACTTTTGGCGGCAATCAGCGACATATGGTGGCGACCAGCGACATATGGCAGGACTGCGGCAGACATTTTGACACTGGGGGGGGAACTGACTTGGGGTCACTGACATCCCAGTGACACCAATACAGTGATCAGTGAAAAAAAAACCACTGAAAAACTGTACTAATGTCACTGGGGAGGAAGGGGTTAACATTTTTAGAATTTGCAGTGTAAGGGGAGTGTTTTACTAGGGGGCGGGGGTGTGTACTGGACTGGGGGGGGGGGGGGGGGGGGGGGGGGGGGGGGGGGGAGGGGGGGGGGGGGGGGAGGGAGGGGTGAGCTGATTGAGGGAGAGAAACTCTGCAGCTTCTCACAAGCTGTCAGAGAACTGACACAGAACAGGGCTGTGTGTAAACAATGCAGCCCTGCTCTGTGTTAGCGATCACCGGCAATCGCGGGAAAACGGCCGGGTGACCCGTCGGCTGACACCCGCTGCTGACACCTGTGGGACAGGTAGGGCGGGCGCGCGCCTCGCGCGCACCCCCTACCTATTTTGAAGGCAGCCGTTTTAAAACGTGCTTTTGCCTACGAGCGCCGCCCTGCCACCGTTTATATGCGGTGGCTGGGCGGCAAGTGGTTAAAGGTGAACCTCTCCTTACGAGTTTAATGCTTCTCAGCTTTATCCCCAACTCCAAATAAAACAACGATCCCTTGGAGTGGGCTTCCACTAGAGGAGAGGAGAGTTTTACTTACGCGATCCTCCACTCCGCTGGCAGATGGCGCTCCCCCACAATCTGCAGATGGGACATACTAAAAAGGAATGACAGTATGTAATCCCCATAGACTTTACCAGGGTGGTGGAATGCCCATAATGAACTATGGAAAACAAAATATAAACTCATTTCCACGCAAATCTGAGAAACATGGCAATTTCACATTTCCCATATGTTCCCAGAGTACAGTAACAGATAGTAAGATTGAAATTATTTGGAATTATAGCGGTTATCTAGGGAATGACAGATAAATGACACAAAGAAATGCCCACAGAGTTTAAATGGGAAGCAAAATGTGACCTGAAGTCAGAAACATTAGACATATCACATAAGTCCTTAGCAGACATACTCTCCAAGTTCAGTGGTGATATTTAAAATTGAGATTATGCGGGATTATCATTGCTTTTTCTATGGAATGACAAGGGTGAATGACAGAAGGGAATGCCCATAGAATAGAATGGGAAGTAATATATGAATTTATTTGCAGACAAATCTGTGTAACGTAACAATTACCATTTCCCACAGGTGATCCCCAGCAGATTGTAAAATTGAAACTATTTGGGAATATAGCATTTTTCTAGGCCATTCCCTTCTGTCATTCACCTTTGATCCTGCTTTAATCCCACGTAATCTAAATTATGAAAGAGGATGTTACGGCGAGTAAATAGATACCCAACATGTCACGCTTTAAGATTGCGCACGCTCGTGGAATGGCGTGAAACTGTGGTACTCCATGGGTTATGCTTTAAAAAGGTCTACAGGTTAGCAGTATTAAGTTACAGAGGAGGTCAAGTGCGAGAATTATTGCTCCTGTTCTGATGTTTGTGGCGATACCTCACGCGTGGTTTGAACACCATTTACATGTGGGCATGGCCTACGTATACGGGGGGGGGGGGATGGGGGGAACTTTAAACTTTTTTTTTTTTTAATTGTATTTATTGTTTTGTTTTTTTTTTTGCACTGTCCCTTTAAAAAATGTTTTAAATTACTTTTATTCCTATCACAAGAAATGCATGCATTCCTTGTGATAGAAATAATTAGTGACAGGTCCTCTTTATGGAGAGATACGAGGTCAATAAGACCCCACATCTCTCCTCTGCAATGTAAAGCATTGGATCAAGGGAAAAAAATAAAAAAATTGATCTAGTGCTTTAAAAAAGGGAAAGAAGAAAAATGGCCGGAACAGGAAGTGACATCGCTCCGGTCCTCCAAGGGCATAGAGATGGGTGGAAGCCATCTTTCCTTCACTCATTTCTATGCCCAGCGCCAGGATCATTCGATTTCTCAGGTAAGGCTGAGAACTACCGAGCGGTAGCAGGGGGTGGCCCGGGCTGGGTTTTTCTCAGCACCTGGTGGTTTTTTTCATTTCGGCAGACAACCAAAAGAGGTGTTTTCGGCTGAAACGTTCGACCACTGAAATTTCGGTGCATCCCTAGTTTTTTGTTGTACACCTAATGACTCCAAGTCACTGCTTCCCATTATACTCTATGGGTATGCCCTTCTGTCATTCATCCTGGTCATTCCATAGAAAACAAATGATAATCCTGCTTAGGATTCTTTCACACTGAGGAGTTTTTGCGTAAAAAAAAAGCACCTGAAAAGCTCAAGAAAAACGCTTCATATATGTGAATGTATATCTATGTATGTTTTCACACTGAGGCGTTGCACTTGCGGTGTGGTGTAAAAACTCTTGCTTGCAGCATCTTTGGGCATGCTTATAGAGTTAAGCGCCCCACAAACCCCTCTTCCCCATGGAAATAAATGGAAAATGCCTAAAAAAAAAAAAAAAAAAAAAAAAAACCTCAAAAAGCCTGAAAGTGCCTCTGAGAAGCATTTCTGGTGCAGTTTTTAAGTCTCGTGTCCTTTAAAAATGCTCAGAAAGCATGGC